AACCGTTTACTTAGTCTCGGTGTTTGGGAATGATCTTTCAAACTGGGTCCGGTGCTGCGTTCTAAGAAATGCACTTTACGTAGCCTTGGGGATCAAGAGCGACAGAATCACAGCTCTCGCGCTGTGACAGACCTGGCCTGCTAGAGACACATTGCTCTGTTGCTTCAGCTGTGCGTGGTATCAAACTGTCATCAGACGGGTCCCTTGGTTCATGGACGGGTGAATTCAAAACAGCTGACGAAGAAGGCCCATCAGGCAGCATGTTTGTATCAGATGCAGGACTCTCTGGCTGGTCTTCCGATAGCCTTTCGCCTTCGGAGGCAATAAATGTTATGTAGCCATTAGGATCAAGGGTGATTGAATCACAACTCTCGCGCTGTCGTAGACCCGGCCTGTTAGAGTTACTTTGCTCATTTGCTTCAGCTATGGGTGGCATCAAATGGGTATCAGACGGGCTCTTAGGCTCAGGACGTGGTGAGGGTAAGTTGCTATATTGGTGCTCCCCTTTCTCGTAAGCAGCTGCTGAGGAAGGTCTATCAGGCTGAGTCAATGGCTTGTCCTTAGATGGCCTTTTCTCTTCAGAAATTGGTGGAGGTGGAATTACAAGAGATGCGCGTTTCTTTTCAGGAACGTCTGGTACCCCTCTGTCTGTAGAGGAGATTCCTGCTACAAAATTGGGTGGAGTAGTGTTCATGACAGCGCCCGATGTTCTTCTGATTGGAGACACAGGAGGCTGTGGATATCTGCTGGACTCTATCTCGCTCCTTTTCTCAGGATATGATGTCGGATAGCTTACAGATCTAGGAATGATTTGGGTGGAAGTCGTGGATGGTTTCCTTGCAGGTGGCAGGGCTGGAGGTTTAAACCGGGCTCTTATTTCATCATAAGGTGATGGCCACTGAACAGAAATTACTGAAGGTTTACGGGAAGGCTGCAACTCATCTGGATCGTCATAATCCTCATCAGATGCAAGATCCACTGGTTCCGGAAGAGGTGCCGGAGGACGAGTAGCAATATCTGGATTTTCAGGATCGATAATCTGTCGTGTTGAAGCGCTCTTGTTTTTGTTCATGGGTGGTCCGCCTAGGTTATGGCGATGTCTTATTACCTATAGAAGTAAATTGGAAAAGGTTTGTATGTTTAGAAAACTTAATTCTAAATGCCAGTTGATCCATTAAAAAACCCAACTCATTAGGAGCATATCTCAGTAAAAAAGGTGGCTTCCCTAGTGTTGGTAACACTCAGCACCATCTTACCTTAATATAGCTTTTTCATCCCTCACACACACACAAAAAAAACAAAACAACAAAACTCCACTCATTGTCATATGTACGCCTACATTCGACCACTTAGACATGCAACTCTGGATCCTATGATAGGCAGGAAAGAATTGACTTACCAAGATCGTTAATATCACTATTAGAGCCACAACAGCAGTGCAACCAATCACAGTTCCAACAATAACTCCGGTCCGTCTGCCTTCATCGTCACCGACAAATTTATTTCTGGTTTTGTTAACTTGCTGCGGTTGTGACGTTACCTTTGGACCCTCCAATGGACATTGTTCCTGATCAGCTGTGCATAGATTAACAAATCAAATTGACGACTGTTGATTTATAGATTCTTATTTTTGCCTTATGCATTGTTGACTATATCGGGAGGAAATTAAATAGCCATATTACAAGTCACAAGGTGATATTAATAGCCTTTGCATTTGCTACAAGAAACGCTGAGGCTGAAAGACGTCTTCGGGTATTTACATGGTATTACCTTCTCTGCCTCTATAGCACACTTCTGAACTAGCGCAGTAAGGTTGATTTAATGGTACATCATCTTTGTCGTTTTTACACCAATAGCAGCCAACGACGCCTTCACATGCTTGCGAACTGTTTCTTTCACTGCAGCGAGGATCAAAACATTTTTCTAATCCTGGCGTAGGATCTTTGCATATCTTTTTAGGGACTGGCGAGTTCTGATTGCTCGTTGGTTGTATTTCAGGTGCTGAGGGTGGGCAAATAGGATCGCTTAAAAAAAAAAACAAAAACAAAAACAAAAAGAAGGGTTAATACTCAGTCACTGATAAACGTGAATCTTGCCTCCGCGTTTTTACCATTTAATCTACATGTGCCTGTCACTGGCAAATTAAGGGAGTTATTACATCCACGTAGGTCTTTTTTATCAAATGCAAAATCATCCCGAGACAGATATTAGATTCCTAAGAATCGTGTCATGGTAGGGCTTGTTTAATCATCAGCAACGTGGAAAGTGAAATAGAACAAACATGTTTGTGGGAAAGTGATTAATTATTCCCTATTTACAACTGTTAACTATAACAAAAGTCTCATTGTTTTACATTATCCTTTAATACAAAAAGGTACATGCATGTCTTGTTAGGTCTTGAAACAGAATCTTCTTTCAACGAACGTTTTGTTTTCA